TAGACTATAAATTGCCCCAAGATATCACTTCATGCGAATACTCACGAAGCGTTTCTTTCCACCGATAACGTGTGTCGTACTTGTCTTCCACTAGTCCGTGCAGTGTAACCTTTACATAAGAATTCTCGATGTTGCATTTCTGCGTCCAGTTGATCCCTATTTAAATTTTTGTTTTGCAATTTTAATAAGGATTTTGGAGAATTTATTATAGTTTTAATACCGATGACAATTTGCATATATTCTTGAGAAATAGGGTGATCTCATCCAGGCAGAAAGTTTAGGCATGTTGATGTTATTTCGATACCAAACGATGCAAGAATTTTGATATTTTGCTGGCATATTTTTTTCCTTGTTAATTTGTTGCTTTGGTTCAGGAGGCTGGTAAAGTTGCAGAAAAACCTTCTCTCTGAGGCAAAATTATTGCGTTGCTCCTTTACCATTCTCTTTCTTCCGCTGTATCACGAATAATTAGTTCGCGTACCGGTGTGAGAAAAGCAGCGCATTTTTTCTCTTTATGATTATTAGCCACTAATTATGCGCCCTACTATGAAGCGTACCGTCAGCAAGCCAACGGTAAATTGCTAACAGTTTGATGCGTGTAAGCTACCAATGACGCCAACAAAAGGGCAGGAACTATATGGCGGTCCACCGTTGACAAAACATAATGTATGCATGCAGTCAACTTTAAAGCGTCCTTGCAATCATTTTTCCTGGATACAAATCCTATGCGAATTTTATTTTTTTTTCTTTAATGTATAAAACCTTTTTAATAACTTATCGTGAGGCAACTCTCTTTGGCTGAAATTTTTTGTCGAAAAGTTAATCATTTTAAAACATATATAATTCCCCGTGGTTTTCCTGACATATATAGGCCTAGTCGTCTTTTTCACGAGGAGACAAAAAGTCTATCCGAAGAGTGAAATTCAGGTTCTGAGAAAATCGCATTTAAAATTGGTCTCATCTAAACTTTGTTATTCGACATGGAATTATCACCGAAATCGATTTCAAACTATTACTATTTGTTTGGCAGGTAATTTGCATTAATTTATTCATCACTCTTGGAAATTAGAAAATGTGTTCTGAACTTACAAAATCATACGTCAGATCTGATGGGATACGAAAAAACTGGACCCCAAATTTCTGGAATTACCCATGTACGCCACAGCACGAATGTCGTGTACAATGTAGTACCCTGGTAACATACAATGAAATGAATGACTACTCGTCAGTGGCTGTACTGACAAAATGAACTTGAGAACATTAGTATCAACGTAATCCAACTTCTCAACAAAACAGACAAGACAGTTCATCATAAATCAGCAAGTACGATTAGATATTACTAACACAGGCTTAGCTGAAGATCCAATTCTCCTTGTTGACCACAAAGGTCCGCCTATTTAGAAGCCTTCACCAATTTAAAAAGTACACTCAAGTTGTATTAATGATTCTTTTTACTTATTAAATTGCTTTAATTATTCGATTGAATTAATGAGAAGTTTCAGCTTGAGTTGATATATCCTCTGTCCTTCGCAATGAATTATACTCTGGGTGCAGATGGCAAGAGGAAATAGATTTATTGATAAATTCCATTCACAACCAATGGGTCAATTAAACTATAAGTTTGAAAAACATTGAACACAGAGTATTGATTTCAGATTTCCTCGCACTCTACTGCAGGAAAACTGTTGTGCTTGGATGGGTCCACGCGCACGAGCGCTACACTTAAATAGGAATGCAATTACATTACACCTTGTACTAGTTATCAGAATCAATATTATACACTAGACTGAAGGAAGAGGGTGTAAGCTGGTGTTGGCCACCTGTGCGATATGTGAAGAACACCTGCGGCTGGCGTATTTTTTATATACACCGTAGCCTAGGGTTTTTCGCTCTGGTAGTGCTGATTCGCGCTTGAAAAGAGACTAATGCTGACTGAGCGAGCGCGGGAAAACACGAAACGGTGGTGCCTGTACTACAACAAATAAATATCTGTATTTTGTTCCGAAAGTTGATATTTGGTACTTGGTTAGTTTCCTCCTGAAACATCCTAGGAGGATACTTCAAAAGTGATAGACCGAAGGACTGTGACAGAACTGGGGCGATTCCTCTTCCTCTGTTGGTTAAGTTATTTCTTTGGTGTGCGTGAAAAAAGCAGAATTTTAATCACCACTGTGATCACTGGCTTGATTAGCTTGGATAGCCAAGCTCATACATTTTTTTTAAGCATTTGTATTTGAGAGGGGGATAAATACAAGCGCATGTGACAAACATTATGAACAATTTAGGTGGGTTATTAATAAGGGTTGTTTTCAAGCAGATTGACATTTCCACCTCTTTCGTCTCTCTTATTTCATTTTTTGTTCCTTTTCCACTATAAAAAAATCTAAATTTCAAAATAGTTTACTTGAAACATGTTCAGGTTGGTCTTGAAGCCTTGATTACACCCTCTTCTGCGTCATTTCCTCTAGGCTTGTTCAGCTTACAGAGTCGAACAAGCAGACTGGTTATGGAGTTGCAGCAATATTAGTCAAGAATGCTTCATATACCTACGGCAAAAGACTCCCAATATCAAAAATTATTACTGCTAGCTGTGCACTGTATAGCACAGCAAAGAATGATATCAAAAATTCGAATCCTTAGTGCGCCACTGCCTGTATGCATTTGAGATATGGAAGAAGGGAAACCGTCGAAAGAATCAATAAAAATTTTACTCATAAGCCTACTATTTCGGTCGTGAAGCTACGTTTGGTTTGTTCACGCTTTGCATGATTGCGTAGGCCTACCGTCGATTCCCAGCGGACTGAGCTCTCACATAACCTTTAGCAGCATCAAAAGCTATCATGTAATAACGAGACGTCTTCCAGTTTTAGTGACATGCATTGAAACCCTTCAGACAGTCTCAACAATTATGTCATGTTTCCGCCCCCACATTAAATCCCATGCGCTAGTGTACATGTACGTATTCAACACTAGTCTCTTTTCATGCGCGAATTGGTACCACCACAGAAAAAAACCTAGGCTAGTAAATAAAAAACTACGCCAGCTTCCGAGAGTTCATACACCTCCGCAGAATTATATAATTTTATTTTAAAAAATCCCTATTTGTAGCCACCACTCTTTTTTCTGTATTGGTTTACTATTCACAACACAACACCTGCCTTACTTACATTCATAATTATGATGTATGCAAATAAAGTAAATATGCAGGTTGTAATCGATAAAGGAATATTGATGACATCCAGGACTACGTTACTGCGTATAGACGTACATGTACACCTGAACCTTCGATCAGGATTGCACTGGCACGGCATGGTACATGTAACTGTTATATTTGATTGTATTGTCACGGCGCATGTAGGCTGTGTTATTGCTGCGTGGTATAACGACCGTATAGCCTACATATTTCCTACTGCTGAAAATGGGGGGGGGGATACCCTTACTGGTCAGCATTTAGTATCAATAATTTGAGCTTGAAATGTGAAGGTGATATCACAGCTGCACAGTCTGTCGTGTACGTGAATATTGTTTTACGCTTCCAAAATCAGGATAATAATCATCTCGGTATGATCTCTGCGTAGGCATATGCAGTTAAAATTGACCGATGTGTCTGCACTACATGCACATATGCACACACTTTCCTTCAGTTCCCGGATTACCCAATTATCATATTGCTGATTGAGTTTGAAATTGATATGTCTACATATAGTGTCCATTACGGCTTATTTGTGCTGGCATAAGTGGTTCATGGTAATCATGCAAACGGTTTCACACTGCATGAAGCTAATATTGTTTTTTTTTTGGCAAGGAGGTCAAGGATTATTTTGCTTACAATTCCACAATTTACATGTAGCAAGTTGTTATTTTACAACAGAAGTGGTATTGAGGAATCTTAGCGCACGTTCCCTTTGAATCCCAGTGTTATTTTGCATAATAATTTACTCGCGTCATGACCGCTTTGGCGTTTGCAGGGGAAAGGCAAGGGGCGCACTACTCAATCCCTATCTGGAAAAAAACGAAAAACAAATCAAGGAAAAGGTAGAGCAAAAGAAATGAAAAAAAAATTGAAAAGGTTGACAATAATCAATTTGCACAAAAGAATAATTTGCTCTTACCTACAGTTACTGGTTCATCATTTCATGACTAGTGAGTAGTTTGCCCCTGGGTACCCCCCTGGACCCCCCCCCGGAAAATCCTTGTGACGCACATGACCTTGGCGCATAGAAGCCGAAGGGGAAAAGAAGCGACAAAGCGGGCCGGGCATGCAGGTCACAAAAGAACCACTCCGTGTTCGTCAACTCTATTCCCTTTAGGCTTTAGCCATAATGGCAACATGACAGTATTTTCACGTTTGAACATAGTAATTATGCAAATAACTAATCGCAAGCATATTTATTTACATGACATTTGGCTGGTATGGGCTGTGTTTGCTATAAAGATTTGAACTCCAAACGCTCACTCTAATAGCACTGTGCATGTGAACTACTGCAGGCTGCGTCCTTGGTCACGGTAATCGGAATAGGTTGTATGCTGTAGATTCCCTTCCACCCCACGAAGAGCTAAACCGAATTCTTTTGTTGTTACCAATACGAAAACTCCCTTAATTCTGTCAAAATACGCAAGTACCGCATGTATTTGTTCGTGCCCGGTCAAAAGTTTTGAGGCGAGGCTTGACTCAGTCACAGGGTACGCAAGTGCTGCCAGTGTGTGCCTGCTGTGTGCGTAAAACGCCTTTCGATCTTGTGTACGGTTCACTTCACAGTGACTACAGCGGTAGCCAATGCTTGCACATTAAAAAGCGAACAAGCAGTCTCAGAATCGGTTGTGCTGTGTTGTTTTTTAGTTTATGATGTCAAAGTTCACGGAGGGTTAAAGTTCGAAAGGACAGCCATGAGGGGGCAGCTTTCTGGAGTGGGCTTTGCTACCTATGATGAGTTCAAGCCTTAGGGGCTGTCACTGCGCCTGAAATAAAAACAAAAACAAATAAAACAATGGAGGCTTCGTCACTTGCTTGGGTGTAAAGCTTGGGGTCCGAAGTCCAGATTTAATGCATACTATTATTTCGTCAGCGATTTGGTCATGGCAAGTTGAAATTTAACATTTTAACCAAGGCAGGCACAGCGAGTCTTTCTTTCTTAGTGTTATATCGTTGCAAGGAAGTATACGAAACTTGCCATTTGTAAAAATCGTTTCACAATTTCCCTCGAGGATGCCAGTGCTTTCTTACATCCTCTGTTAATCGAGCAAGGCCATGGCATCTCCGTTACATTATATCGACAGAGTATTCTTGCGACATATGCCAGTTATAAACCGTCACTAGCGAGTAGAAACTGTAACCAGAATTGTTCGTTTCTTTACTTATAAATGTAATTCCACCACCGTTATACATTTACATACATTCCAGAATTGGCACTTTACAACCTGAGAACAATAAAAACTGAAATCGGAAAATATTTTTTTATCCCTTCACCCTCGACCCTCTTGAGAGCAAAGAGCATTTCGGGTTTACCTTATGACCATAATCTGTATATAATGGTAATTACGGTATGTGAAGACGTGAATAATTCAAAAAAGTCGCCAGAAGTTAAAGTTTCAATTTAAGTTCTTGTTTTAAGATTTTAATGAGTGAATTTCCGAATGGAACAAAATTATCCACATTTTTAAAATTCCAATCTGAATTTGAAAAAGAAAAATCATGAGACATGTGCTGCTCTGGCTGTGACTCCAACACGAGATTCCACTTGACTAATTATTACTGTTTATTTAATTTCGCTGACATCTCTGGTTCTATTGGCAATAACGGTAAATACGGATGAAAAGCGTGGAAACCTTGAATAATTCTTGGGAAAAAAAATCGATTTTCTGTGCAGTACTGGTAAAGGCATCGTAATATAGTTCCACATCTCTGGGTGGTAAAATGCAATGACCACAAACTATTTATATTTCCAACATCCTCGCTCTATTGGCAACATCCCATTTCGCACCCCTTAAGACACCGCATTAGAGCCGTTACAGCCCTCTCCATGCCCCTATCCTCTGTCGTCATGCCCAAGATTTTGGGCGTGTCCTCGCCCCAATCTTGCAATCGAGCTCCCCAGAAGTGGCTCATCCTAATCCATTGGTCACTTGGGGAGTGGTAAATGTAGCCTCTTTTCAAGGCGTTGTGGTGAACGTTGGCTGCCTGGATTGCCTTGAGCTGATAGATTGGTTTGACCAAGGCGTTTCCTCGCTTAATGGTCCTTCGCCACAACCTGTCAATTAGCAATGGATGCTCGCTGTCATTCAGCNGGTTTACCGAGGTACAGGTAATTCTGCATGGAGATTTCACCGACGCTTGGTTTCGAACGGGCGATCTCCTGCACGGCACGGACCAGAAATCCTGATTCGCGGTCATTGGGACAGAACGGGTACTCGTCGATATCGATAGCCGTCTGCCATGCATATTCATTGCCAAATTGGTTGATACAATTCTGGTAGGCGGAGACCTGTGTGCCCGCTATAGTGTACTTCGGTCTTGCCCTATGGCTCCAATCCACGTATGTTACATAGCCGTTCTCTATGAAACACTTGAGTTGTTCTTTCTGGGATTCATTCCTAAATAAGTAAGCATCGTAGACGTAAACATGCTCAACCCCAGCGTAGCTTAAGTACTGAAGCCATTGCATCATTTCGCGTGTTGTTAACTTAGCAAGATCATAAGCATATATCCGGACCAGTAAAACAGCAGTCAAGAAGTACTTGGGTCCAGTGGTGTCGTGTCTACCCGCTGGCCTATCAGAATTTGATTTGACTCCAGTACGTCCACTACACCAAGCAGGATATCTCTGTGTCCTTGGATCCATTTGAGGCCAACGCCCATTAATAACTTCCTTTGGATTCATTTTATTTTCATTGATTCCCTTTGCTGTCATGCCTGTGATATTTATTTTCCTGTCACTAAGGCTTGGTGGGTTTTCGGGACCACATATTCCCTGCTTGCATTTCTTCCCTCGAATGCTGCTGCTTGCATCCTGGGCCGAGTTTGGGTGCACTGCGGCAGGAACTTCTGAATCGTGTTGGTTCCCGCTCCAAAATAATCGACGAAGACCATCTGGATCACCGACGGCTACTATGCCCCGGTTGACAGCCAAGCACATCCAAGTGACATGTAAGATCCCAAGAACGGCGAGCACCGGCAGTAGGAACCTGCAGCGAGCCCGTGAGAACCTTTTTCGGGAGGTGAAATACTGCAACACACGCAGAACAAATCTCAGTCCTTGACCCAACTCCATGACAGTTGTATAAAACACAC